TTTTTTTTTTTTTTTTTGCAAATTTAAGTGCACAACTTCTACTGAATTGTTTCACATATTGTGTCATAATGTTTGTACATGTCACACTTTATGTATGGATGTACTTTACTTATTTTCACTTAGATGTCATCAAAACATGTAATTTGGCCAAATTGTACATATGGCTTAAAGCGTTACGAGACATTTAACTTTGTAACAAACTATGTGTGATGTGGTTGGTGCAGACGCGTCTCACGCTGACACTGTCATATTAAAACCTCTTAATTTTTTTTTTGCATGCCCTTCACACTGTGGTGCATGTTTCACGATGAACGGGCCAACATGACTTTAATGTACATTCATTTTTTCCTTCTCTTCTGAAATGAACAGTTTGGAGAGACGAGGTTTCACAGTGATGGTTTTTCTCTTTTTCTCTGTCAGAAAATGGATTCGGGTGGAAAGTTTACTTTGTATTCTTCAGATTTTAGCTTTCTTGAAGAAAATTACACCTACAATGAATCATATGAATATGGAGAATCATGCTGTGGGACGGTGTGCGGTCAGGAAGCCAGCATGGCCTTTGAAGCCATCTTTATTCCCATCCTGTACTCCTTGGCGGTGGTAATTGGGCTTCTGGGTAACGGGCTGGTCCTGGTGGTCCTGTGGCAGAAGAAGAGGACATGGAGCGTGACAGACACCTTTGTCCTTCACTTGAGCGTGGCCGACATCCTGCTGCTGTTGACCATGCCCCTGTGGGCAGTGGAGGCTGCAAATGAGTGGATCTTCGGCAAGGAGCTCTGCAAGCTGACCGGAGCGCTCTTTCAGGTAGGGGAGGGGCTACAGGACAGTGTTCAGAGAGAAAGAAAGCTGGAGGTGCTGTAAGAGCGGGAAAGCCCTGCATGAGTCAGAGACAATTTTTAAATGAAATATTATTTTGAAATATTATTATTATCTGCAGTGTGTGTAGTTTTACAGTCTGACAGTAATAATTGAGGAGTGATTTTAATCCAGTATGAATCTGCAGTGTGTGTAGTTTTACAGTCTGACTGTAATAATTGAGGAGTGATTTTAATCCAGTATGAATCTGCAGTGTGTGTAGTTTTACAGTCTGACGGTAATAATTGTGGAGTGATTTTAATCCAGTATGAATCTGCAGTGTGTGTAGTTTTACAGTCTGACTGTAATAATTGTGGAGTGATTTTAATCCAGTATGAATCTGCAGTGTGTGTAGTTTTACAGTCTGACTGTAATAATTGTGGAGCGATTTTAATCCAGTATGAATCTACAGTGTATGTAGTTTTTACAGTCTGACAGTAATAATTGTGGAGCGATTTTAATCCAGTATGAATCTGCAGTGTGTGTAGTTTTACAGTCTGACAGTAATAATTGTGGAGTGATTTTAATCCATTATGAATCTGCAGTGTGTAGTTTTACAGTCTGACAGTAATAATTGTGGAGTGATTTTAATCCAGTATGAATCTGCAGTGTGTGTAGTTTTACAGTCTGACAGTAAGTGCTCAGTAGTTGGTGTTATTATTGTTATTAAGTGTGTCCTGTGATGTAAGGTTGACATGAACATAAAGGCTGTGAGGAGAAATTCCTCTCGTGAAATTAATCCAGCTCTAATAGTTTATAGGGTCAGTTTTGGCTCATTAAAAAATATGTTTTTCGTTTCCCCCAAATTTACAGGTGAACTTCTACTGTGGCATTTTTTTGCTGGCATGCATCAGCCTGGACCGCTATCTGTCCATTGTCCACGCCGTGCAAATGTACTCTCGCAAGAAGCCCTGGCTGATCCAGCTCAGCTGCATGGCTGTCTGGTTCTTCTCCTTGCTCCTCTCCATCCCTGACTGGCTCTACCTGGGTGCTACAGAGGACTCCAGACGGGGTAAAACGGAGTGCGTCCATTGGTACCCCTCTGACGGGTTACGTTTAGCCTCCAGATGGCTTTACCACGTGGTGGGCTTCTTGATTCCAGCCTTGGTGCTGCTCTTCTGCTACACCTGCATCCTGCAGAAGCTGCAGAGTGGCTCTCAGGGCCTGCAGAAACAGCGGGCTATGAGGGTCATCCTGGCCTTGGTGGTGGCCTTCTTCATATGCTGGACACCCTACAACATCACCCTCTTGGTGGACACCATCCACACCAACCAAAGTAACCAGAGCAGCAACGTCTGCGACACCACCACAGCTCTGGATATCGCCTTAACTACCACTTCCACTCTCGGCTACCTGCACTGCTGCATGAACCCAGTGCTCTACGCATTTGTTGGAGTGAAGTTCCGGCGCCACCTGCTGGACATGGCCAGGCCTATCAGTTCCAGGCTGAAGGGCAGAGTGAGCACGGTCTCTCGCAGGACCTCAATGTGGTCTGAGTCTGCGGACACCTCTCACACGTCAGCCTTCTGAGAGGATGTATTTTTTTGCATTTGTGGAATTTTTTTGAAAAGAAAAATGCAAATTTTTGTCATGATTTTCATGCTGACATAACAGTCCAAAAGTTCCATTTCCAACAGAAGCTTTCATGTTGTTTGAAGTTGAGTAGAGGTAAAAACAATATAAAAAAAAATGGTTTGAGTTGTTTTTGGATTTTTTGTCACCTCAGATTTTTGCTTATTTTTGAATTTGCTTCTGGAAAACCTGGAAAAAATCTGGAAAATGTTGGTTGTAGTTGGGCAGATCTTCATTACAATTTTAGCAGCATGAATATACAGAAAGGTAAAAGTCAAAAAGTCACATTTCCTGAAGACGCATTCAGGTTTAGGTTTCTTGGATACTTTGTCAGTTGAAGATGAAGTTGAAGTTCAGGGGTTCTTTGATTCTTCTTGTTCAAATGTTACATTTCCTGTAGTTTGCACCTTTGTAGATGAACTTGCACTTGAACTTCTGTGGTGTATAGTCATGTCAAGATTCTGAAGTACTTACAGTGTTTATGTATATGCTTTTGACTATGAAAGGTTACTCAGGGACACATTTTCAGGTTTAAATGATCTAAGCTTGATTTCTTCGGAAAGCTCAGGGACATACAACACTGTGCAAAAGTCAGACACGACCTTCATTTATTTAAACAGCCAAGCTCATTTCTCTGCATCAGGGAAAAAGCAGAAAACATATATTTAACAGAAAATAGAAAGAAAAGAAGTACCCAACAACTAAATAGAATTTTAAGTGTTTCAGCGATAGTGTGTCCACTCTTCATCTTTATTCCAGCTTCCATTCTTTTCAGGAGATTCATTTTCAGTTTCTCAAAGAAGCAGACACACCTCCAAAGTTCAGTCTTAGGCCCAATCTCATTTCTTTTTTTTTTACCCCTAGTGGGGTAGTGGTTGAAATTTCCCCCTACGAAATGGGACCCTCAAATAAACAGAGCATTACTTCATTAACAGCTACTAGCGCTGCTCTGTAGGTGACCCTGCCAGTCTGCAGTGACAGCAGAGGAGGGTGAAGTTCAGCTCCTCACTGCTGGGCTTTAGTTACATTTAGGACATCATATGCCTTCAAAGGGGAGGGGCAATTATTTATTATCGCCCACCCCTAATTCTTCAGCGATATGAAGCTGAAGTCAGCTATTCACCAGCTTCTTGTCTGAATTTTCCTGGTCCACCTTAAATGGTGCAGAAGTTACATTTAGGTGCCTCGGGCATCCAACAGCACCATGACTGCTGCACCATTTAAGGTGGAACGGGAAATTTAGCCAGCTAGCTACTGAGACATTACCATGCTACTAGTGATTTATTTATGCTTGTTATGAAGAAAAGGACCATAATACATTGAAACTGCATTAAACTAATATAATACACTGATTATCGTAATTTTTAACAGAGAAAATTCTCACATTTGTGGGTTTCTTTGGTCTCTTGTTCAGCCATCTTGCCGGTTTTTCTTTTTTTCTCATATCACTCTGTTTGGAGTGTCTCTGAAAAACCTCCGTTTGGAGGGTCATGTAGCCCCAACACTTCGCCCCACCCCCCTAACTCAACAAGAATCAGGACACCCTACCCCTAGACGTGAACACGCAAATCGGAGGGGTAGGGCTAAGTGATAGGGACGAGGGATGAAATGGGATTGGGCCTTAGAAGTTGGGTGGTTGCTTTGTTTGTAGTGAGGGCATCTTGAAAGCTACACATCCTTTCAGACCCATAGCACTGAGTTGTCTTCTCACAGCGGAAGGATGGCTGTGGATTGTTTCAGGCCTGAAGCAGCTTGATTTTCTCCTCTTTCTCAAAGATCTGTTGAGAATAGTTTTAATGTTCTACCAGGTGTTTCAGGTGGTTGTTAGGAGTCCCATTTTGTATGTATCCTTTACAGTTTTGAAAACTCTTGTTTTTTTCAGAAATATCTTCTAGAAATGAAAGACTAGAAATGAAACAAGTGGCAGTTGGTCTCTGACTTTTGCACAGTGTGTAAAACTTTAGATGGCTAACGATTTATCTGGCAGCTGTTACATAGACAGATTTTTTTATATGTGATTTTAGTTTATTCTGTGTGTGCAATGTTTTTTTTTACTTATTTTCTTTACTTATTCAGGGTATAAGTGGTATAAATATGCATTATCCAGACTATAAGTACTGGGACGCCTGAGAAAATGACATTTCCAGAAAATAGTCTCACTGTAAAAAAGATTGGTAGGTAAATTGTGACAGCGGAAAACAATAGTTTTTAACATGCCCTTACCAGCTTTGACTCACCATTTAGACATGCGTCACACCTGCGTTACAGAAGTGGCTACACAAGAGGACAGCGAGGAGCAGAGTTTTCAATCAGTGCTCAGCTAGGTTGGCTTCAGTAAGTTACTCAGTTAGCCTTGCAAAGTTTGTAAAACATTTTTTGAAAGCATAATTTTTGTAAATAACTGCTTTGTCTGGCTTAAAACTTTGGTTTAAAACTGAGGCACAGTACCTTCCTTTTTGTTGTTGCCAGCTGAGTAGCTTTTAGCTTGATAACTAGCAAGCTAGCAGAGTTGTATTAGCAGGTATGTACAACAGATGGACTAGTTTGCTAAATCCCAGCTTGAACACAGATAACTGAATATTATATTTTTGAAATATTAAAGAATTCAAAGTGTTTTATTGGTGTTTTTTAGAAACTTTTTGTGCACCATTGTTTGGGGTTTGAAAAGCATCAAATCGCACTGATTTCTGGGCAGATTCTTCTGCTGTTCACTTGTGTTCTCTCGGTTCCCCTCCAAAGGCTCATAGTATGGAACAGCCGTTATGATGGCGTCTGGGGTTTCCCCCCTGAGGGGAAATTGTGAAGCTGACAAGGGCATGTTAAAATGAGTATTGAAATGGGTGGAACGTAACAAACCCCCAAAGAGGGATGATGGGTGGGATCAATGTCAGCCTTTGCCATTGAACCACAACCAAAAACTCCAAAATCAACAGTGCACAACCCTTAAAGAAACAGACGACTGAATGGAGGAACTGCAGAGCAGAAAAGAGCCTTCATTCTTACAGACTGAGGACGATATGCATTAAGGTGCTCACTGTTCCACTGTGAACTGAGCGTCTTGATGTTATTAAACTAGTGAAAAGCCTTTTAAAGCATCTATTTGAACCAAATGTGTTGCATTTTGTGAGAAAAAAAATGCACTGTCCTGTGTCCTGCCCTGCGACGGACTGGCGACCTGTCCAGGGTGTGTCCTGCCTTCCGCCCAATGACAGCTGGGATAGGCTCCAGCACCCCACCGTGAACCAGAAGGATAAGTGGTTTAGATGATGGATGTATGTATGTATGTCCTGTGTCCACTGTGAATTATGTCCCAGTACTTTTGGTAGGGTAGTAGAATTTAGTGAAAGCAAACTGCAGCTAAACATTCTTTATTATGTTGTTTATTTCTTTAATAAGAGAATTTAGTCTGTTCATATATTGTTTCTATTTTTGTATCACAGTTTGATGTCCTTATAAGAATTTATTTTATATCATTAAAAACTTTAAAATGAGACTGAATTGCATGTGTAAATGATTGTGCACTAAAACAACCACAAGGGGGCAGTAGAGCTCATGTTAGCGGGGAAATGAACTCTATAGAGAAGAGGTGCCCAATCCTGGTCCTGGAAGTCCACCACCCTGCAGAGTTTAGCTCCAAACCTAATCAGAAACACCTCATCCAGGTAATGAGGGTAATGAAGGCCTTCAGAGGGATCTGAATATTAGAGCCAGGTATGGTGGATCTGATCTCTCCAGAGTGGTAGAGCTCCAGAACCAGGACTGGGCACCCCTGCTATAGAGGCCCTGCAGTACTGGCTGGAGCCCAGAGGTGGGTAGGGGATCCTAAAGCCATACAGTCATGAATGTATTGTTACTGCAATGAAATAAAGACTCAAGTACAAGTAAAGAACCCAGCAAAGAACATATAAAAACCCATATAAAACCGCCATGGAACTTCTAAAGGCAGCTGCACATAATATGCACTGTGTCGCGTTGCGCCAAAAACAAAAAACATTTTTAATGGAGGTACACACACCAGTGCCATGCAGCACCTCCCCAGCAATCACACAGAAACTGCCTTGAATAACATATGGACCACTTAGCAACACCTGAGGAACCACCTTGGATAACATACCAACAATGAACACCTTAGTAACCACCTGTCCATACCATAGCGATGACCTAGCCCCAACAACCTAACATCTGCCAAGCAATGCCCTAACAACATACTGGAGCAAACCATAGCAACTACCTGGAATACCAGAGCAGCCAACTGGAATTGCTATCTAAACCCAAATAAGTTATTAGTAACTCCTCTATCTTTACACGTGGTATTTGCTGGATTTGTCAAGTCAACTTAAAACTCTTTCTCTTAAAAAAACTTTCTCTATTAGTTTATTTGTTGTGGTTTGACTAATAGTTAGATCCTTCAGTTTGAGCCATAAATGTCAAAACTCTGTCGAAAATAAGGAAAAAAAAACAGAGCTATGATAATGCTATGGGAGACTCCCTATGGGAGTCTAGTAGTGTGTTAGCGGTGAGCTAATGGTGATTCACATGAACATTTATTGGCCATTCTAGATTAATTGAGGACATTCCATGGGCCGTGCTGCCATGTAGCGCTTTGGAGATGTGGCCATGGACATCTTAAAGGCAGATGACAAAGAAGACAGAGCCTGGTGGAAGATGGCTAAGGAAACAGCACAGGAATGAAGCTGAAGCCTGGTGAAAGGACTGGCATGGCAGCGGCTGGCAGCAAAAGAGAAGGTGGCAAAAGAGAGTTGGGTGGCAGCTGGCAGTGGGGCCCAGCTGGAGCCTGGCGAGAGGGACACAGTGTGCATCCGGTTACCAAGTGGTCTCCCGGCATCACGGCTGGATGACGGTCGTCACTGTGATCTATCCGTGCCTGGCCCAGAAGGAGTAGCTGGAAAACCATAAATAGCAGTAACTGAAAACAACTGTGGTTAATAAAACCAAAAACTATGGTGTTCAGCTACTTGTGTGTGTGTCTATATATATCTTTGTATATCTATAGCTGCTGCTGTCGGAAGAAAACCTCGTATCTCAATTTTTGTTGTTTTTCAGTTTTTGACATAATTTGAAAATGCATTTTGCTTTTTACATTGTGTGTAAATTTCATGATGAATGAACAAAAAAAACAGCCCAAAATTAGTCATCAATTTAGCAATATTGGTTTTTAAATGAATTATACAGAATTCCAAACACCACAGAAGAGCTCGTCCTCATAGTCATGTGTAAAGGGTGGGGCCATATTTTCAGGTAAAAAACATGTTTTTCTGCTGTTTTAACTGCAGTTTTAACTATACATGACTATGAAATATGTGATTTGAATGACATAAAGAAAACAAATGTCAAATAAATATTATAAAATATATAATGAAAGCTGTGGTCCCCAGGAATCGTGTCACTGTTGTTACTGCGTAACTAAAAAGCTCTTATTTTGAAATAAAAGTCACACTGATGACATCACTCGACTTCCTTTTACCTGTTTTCTGAGGATCTATGAAGAAAAGCTCATGGCGAGTCCACTGTGTCTTTCAGTTATCAGAGATTTTCTCTTTTAGCTCATGATTTCATATGAAGCTTTTAGCTGAAGTCACTGGTGTGACCGACTTTATTCTGAGGTAATTGTGGAAAAATAGAATGCAAATGGAGTAAATTCCATATTTTAGTGGATATTCCATGACTGACAACATGTGGTTTGATGTTCTGTAGCAGCCGTTTAGTAAAATGCATTGCTCATTAAAAATGTCTCTGGTGTTCCCTTTATTATGTGTAACACCAATGAGGGTCAGTAACACCTGGGACTACTATGAATAGATCGAAAAGTGGACGTTTCTGTAGAATGACCCATATATATATATATATATATATATATATATATATATATATATATATATATATATTTATATAAAGATAGATAGACAGACAGACAGATAGATAGATATATAGATAGATAGACAGACAGACAGACACAGACATAGAGACAGACAGATAGATAGACAGACACAGATAGACATACAGACTGATAGATAGATAGATAGATAGATAGATAGATAGACGGACAGGTCTAATCACAGCAGCTGCTTTGACATGGAAATTCGCTTTCAGATGTTGGATGTGCAGCGCACTCCGTTTACTGGACTCACCCCTGAGCTCTGCATGGCGGTTACCAGAGTCCACAGTGGCAGATACACAGCTCAGAGAAAGTTTTGCGTGACACACTTTGGAAAATGCTTTTAAACTTTTATATAGCCCTGTGAATGACTAAAAGATCTTATCACATGTCTGGGGTTAGAAATGTTTTTGGTTCCTCTCTCTCTCTTTCTCTCTCTCTCTCTCTCTCTCTCTCTCTCTGCTCTCAGTCTTTATCTCTGCGTTGAACCAACCAGACGGACACAACTCGACTGCACACTCGGACAGATTAAACACCCCATGTAAGTTTTTAATTCATTTAAATAATTTAAATGTTATAAATGTTATTTCAGAGCTGTTTAGTCATCACTGTTTTAGTTTATATTTACACTTACATTCACTTTACAACCTCTCACTGTTTTCACTACTTGTCCTTTCACTGTTCTACTAATACAGTATATTACTTATTATTGTTCTATTATTAATGCATAATTCATTTTAAGTCATTTTTCAGAAAAATAACATGTGAACCGGGATTGTTTTACTCGTTCATGGTATAAATATTATTTACTATCATAAACAGTCACTAACTCATTTTGGATTATGCAATACTGATTAATGGATTTTTTAAGCTATATTAATATTTCAATCCTGCGACCCAGAAGGATAAGCGGTTCAGAAGATGAATGGATGGATGGATGGATGATATTTCAATTAAATATGCAAATATGCCTGTATATATCTGTTTCACTTGCATTTGGAGAAAAAAAAAGGAACTTAAAACAAAACCTAAACTTAAGTAGTTCCCTTTTCTTAATTGGTTTCAGAGTGGTGATGATTTGAAGCATTTGGTTCAACTTGTGGGGGAAGATGTGGTTATTAGTCACCCAACTCTACACATAATCTATAATAATTCAGTCCAGTTTTTGTTTTTGTTTTCTAAAATACAGGCAAAGAAAAATGAATAATTGGCACATTATGTTTTGATACTTAAGCTATTGACTACTGACCAATGCTGATATGAAGGCCAAATGTCATCTCTACAGTCTTCTAAGCTTTAAACATGAGTTGTTTTTACCTGGAGCAGTTCATTTAGGAAGGCAGGCTATCACGCTCAAACAACCCAAAAACTCTACTACTCCTCAAGAAGAGCTACACAGCAAACAATATCACGTCACACAGCGGGCATTTGGGTATTTAAGGATGGACTTCATTTTTTATTTACCTCTTTAATGTCCAGTCCAGCATTTCCTGCTCATTTTGTATCATCTTTGGTTGTAATTACACATTATTTGGTTGTAAATCATTCATCCAGAAGAGCATTTGTGAGGTCAGACACTGACGTTCAACTCAGCAACATTGTAAATGAGGGTCACCCTCAATGTATGTAAAAGGTTAAATGAAGATTCATTGATTGATTGACTGATTGATTGGACAAGAGGGTCTGGCTCACAATCTCTGTTCTAGTTAATCCCAAAGGTGTTCAGTAGGGTTGAGGTCAGGGCTCTGTGAGGGCCAGCCAAGTTCTTCCACAGCAAACTCACCCAGCCAGGCCTTTATGGAGCTGCTTTGTGCACTGGGGCTCAGTCATGCTGGAACAGGAAAGGTTCTTCACCAAACTGTTCCCACAAAGTTGGAAGTGTACAATTGTCCAAAATGTCTTGGTGCTGAAGCATTAAGGTTTCCCTTCACTGGAACTGAGGGTTCTAGGCCAACCCCCGAAAAACAACCCATATCATCATCCCTCCTCCACCAAACTTTACAGTTCTCCTCGCCAAACCCAGACTCATTTATCAGACTGACAGATAGAGAAGTGTGATTCGTCACTCCACAGAATACGTTTCCACTGCTCCAGAGTCCAGTGGCGGCGGCTTTACACCACTCTATCCGACAACTGGCATTGTGCTTGGTGATGTAAGGCTTGAAAGCAGCTGCTCAGCCATGGAAACTCATGCCATGAATGTCCCGTCGCACAATTTTAGTGCTGATATTAAAGCCAGAGGAGGTTTGAACTCTGCAGTTACTGAGTCAGCAGAACGTTGGTGACTTTTATGCTCTATGCTCTTCAGCACTCAGAGACCCGCTCTGTAACTTTACGTGGTCTAACACTTTGTGGCTGAGTTGCTGTGGTTCCTAAACGCTTCCGCCATTTTAATAGTTCTTAATTACCTTTTTTTTGCCCTTCACACTGTGGTGCATGTTTCATGATGAATGGGCCAACATGACTTTAATGTACATTCATTTTTTCTTTCTCTTCTAAAATGAGCAGTTTGGAGAGACGAGGTTTCACAGTGATGGTTTTTCTCTTTTTCTCTGTCAGAAAATGGATTCGGGTGGAAAGTTTACTTTGTATTCTTCAGATTTTAGCTTTCTTGAAGAAAATTACACCTACAATGAATCATATGAATATGGAGAATCATGCTGTGGGACGGTGTGCGGTCAGGAAGCCAGCATGGCCTTTGAAGCCATCTTTATTCCCATCCTGTACTCCTTGGCGGTGGTAATTGGGCTTCTGGGTAACGGGCTGGTCCTGGTGGTCCTGTGGCAGAAGAAGAGGACATGGAGCGTGACAGACACCTTTGTCTTTCACTTGAGCGTGGCCGACATCCTACTGCTGTTGACCATGCCCCTGCGGGCGGTGGAGGCTGCAAATGAGTGGATCTTCGGCAAGGAGCTCTGCAAGCTGACCGGAGCACTCTTTGAGGTAGGGGAGGGGCTACAGGACAGTGTTAAGAGAGAAAGAATGCTGGAGGTGCTATAAGAGCGGGAAAGCCCTGCATGAGTCAGAGACAATTTTTAAATGAAATATTATTTTGAAATATTATTATTATCTGCAGTGTGTGTAGTTTTACAGTCTGACAGTAATAATTGTGGAGCGATTTTAATCCAGTATGAATCTGCAGTGTGTGTAGTTTTACAGTCTGACAGTAATAATTGTGGAGCGATTTTAATCCAGTATGAATCTGCAGTGTGTGTAGTTTTACAGTCTGATGGTAATAATTGTGGAGCGATTTTAATCCAGTATGAATCTGCAGTGTGTGTAGTTTTACAGTCTGACGGTAATAACTGTGGAGCGATTTTAATCCAGTATGAATCTGCAGTGTGTGTAGTTTTTACAGTCTGACAGTAATAATTGTGGAGCGATTTTAATCCAGTATGAATCTGCAGTGTGTGTAGTTTTACAGTCTGACAGTAATAATTGTGGAGTGATTTTAATCCAGTATGAATCTGCAGTGTGTGTAGTTTTACAGTCTGACAGTAAGTGCTCAGTAGTTGGTGTTATTATTGTTATTAAGTGTGTCCTGTGATGTAAGGTTGACATGAACATAAAGGCTGTGAGGAGAAATTCCTCTTGTGAAATTAATCCAGCTCTAATAGTTTATAGGGTCAGTTTTGGCTCATTAAAAAATATGTTTTTCGTTTCCCCCAAATTTACAGGTGAATTTCTACTGTGGCATTTTTTTGCTGGCATGCATCAGCCTGGACCGCTATCTGTCCATTGTCCACGCTGTGCAGATGTACTCTCGCAAGAAGCCCTGGCTGATCCAGCTCAGCTGCATGGCTGTCTGGTTCTTCTCCTTGCTCCTCTCCATCCCTGACTGGCTCTACCTGGTTGCTACAGAGGACTCCAGACGGGGTAAAACGGAGTGCGTCCATTGGTACCCCTCTGACGGGTTGCGCTTAGCCTCCAGATGGCTTTACCACGTGGTGGGCTTCTTGATTCCAGCCTTGGTGCTGCTCTTCTGCTACACCTGCATCCTGCAGAAGCTGCAGAGTGGCTCTCAGGGCCTGCAGAAACAGCGGGCTATGCGGGTCATCCTGGCCTTGGTGGTGGCCTTCTTCATATGCTGGACACCCTACAACATCACCCTCTTGGTGGACACCATCCACACCAACCAAAGTAACCAGAGCAGCAACGTCTGCGACACCACCACAGCTCTGGATATCGCCTTAACTACCACTTCCACTCTCGGCTACCTGCACTGCTGCATGAACCCAGTGCTCTACGCATTTGTTGGAGTGAAGTTCCGGCGCCACCTGCTGGACATGGCCAGGCCTATCAGTTCCAGGCTGAAGGGCAGAGTGAGCACGGTCTCTCGCAGGACCTCAATGTGGTCTGAGTCTGCGGACACCTCTCACACGTCAGCCTTCTGAGAGGATGTATTTTTTTGCATTTGTGCAATTTTTTTGAAAAGAAAAATGCAAATTTTTGTCATGATTTTCATGCTGACATAATAGTCCAAAAGTTCCATTTCCAACAGAAGCTTTCATGTTGTTTGAAGTTGAGTAGAGGTAAAAACAATATAAAAAAAATCGGTTTGAGTTGTTTTTGGATTTTTTGTCACCTCAGATTTTTGCTTATTTTTGAATTTGCTTCTGGAAAACCTGGAAAAAATCTGGAAAATGTTGGTTGTAGTTGGGCAGATCTTCATTACAATTTTAGCAGCATGAATATACAGAAAGGTAAAAGTCAAAAAGTCACATTTCCTAAAGACGCATTCAGGTTTAGGTTTCTTGGATACTTTGTCAGTTGAAGATGAAGTTGAAGTTCAGGGGTTCTTTGATTCTTCTTGTTCAAATGTTACATTTCCTGTAGTTTGCACCTTTGTAGATGAACTTGCACTTGAACTTCTGTGGTGTATAGTCATGTCAAGATTCCGAAGTACTTACAGTGTTTATGTATATGCTTTTGACTATGAAAGGTTACTCAGGGACACATTTTCAGGTTTAAATGATCTAAGCTTGATTTCTTCGGAAAGCTCAGGGACATACAACACTGTGCAAAAGTCAGACGCGACCTTCATTTATTTAAACAGCCAAGCTCATTTCTCTGCATCAGGGAAAAAGCAGAAAACATATATTTAACAGAAAATAGAAAGAAAAGAAGTACCCAACAACTAAATAGAATTTTAAGTGTTTCAGCGATAGTGTGTCCACTCTTCATCTTTATTCCAGCTTCCATTCTTTTCAGGAGATTCATTTTCAGTTTCTCAAAGAAGCAGACACACCTCCAAAGTTCAGTCTTAGGCCCAATCTCATTTCTTTTTTTAACCCCTAGTGGGGTAGTGGTTGAAATTTCCCCCTACGAAATGGGACCCTCAAATAAACAGAGCATTACTTCATTAACAGCTACTAGCGCTGCTCTGTAGGTGACCCTGCCAGTCTGCAGTGACAGCAGAGGAGGGTGAAGTTCAGCTCCTCACTGCTGGGCTTTAGTTACATTTAGGACATCATATGCCTTCAAAGAGGGGGGCAATTATTTATTATCGCCCACCCCTAATTCTTCAGCGATATGAAGCTGAAGTCAGCTATTCACCAGCTTCTTGTCTGAATTTTCCTGGTCCACCTTAAATGGTGCAGAAGTTACATTTAGGTGCCTCGGGCATCCAACAGCACCATGATTGCTGCACCATTTAAGGTGGAACGGGAAATTTAGCCAGCTAGCTACTGAGACATTACCATGCTACTAGTGATTTATTTATGCTCGTTATGAAGAAAAGGACCATAATACATTGAAACTGCATTAAACTAATATAATACACTGATTATCGTAATTTTTAACAGAGAAAATTCTCACATTTGTGGGTTTCTTTGGTCTCTTGTTCAGCCATCCTGCCGGTTTTTCTTTTTTTCTCATATCACTCTGTTTGGAGTGTCTCTGAAAAACCTCCGTTTGGAGGGTCATGTAGCCCCAACACTTCGCCCCACCCCCCTAACTCAACAAGAATCAGGACACCCTACCCCTAGACATGAACACGCAAATCGGAGGGGTAGGGCTAAGTAATAGGGACGAGGGATGAAATGGGACTGGGCCTTAGAAGTTGGGTGGTTGCTTTGTTTGTAGTGAGGGCATCTTGAAAGCTACACATCCTTTCAGACCCATAGCACTGAGTTGTCTTCTCACAGTGGAAGGATGGCTGTGGATTGTTTCAGGCCTGAAGCAGCTTGATTTTCTCCTCTTTCTCAAAGATCTGTTGAGAATAGTTTTAATGTTCTACCAGGTGTTTCAGGTGGTTGTTAGGAGTCCCATTTTGTATGTATCCTTTACAGTTTTGAAAACTCTTGTTTTTTTCAGAAATATCTTCTAGAAATGAAAGACTAGAAATGAAACGAGTGGCAGTTGGTCTCTGACTTTTGCACAGTGTGTAAAACTTTAGATGGCTAACGATTTATCTGGCAGCTGTTACATAGACAGATTTTTTTATATGTGATTTTAGTTTATTCTGTGTGTGCAATGTTTTTTTTTACTTATTTTCTTTACTTATTCAGGGTATAAGTGGTATAAATATGCATTATCCAGACTATAAGTACTGGGACGCCTGAGAAAATGACATTTCCAGAAAATAGTCTCACTGTAAAAAAGATTGGTAGGTAAATTGTGACAGCGGAAAACAAAAGTTTTTAACATGCCCTTACCAGCTTTGACTCACCATTTAGACATGCGTCACACCTGCGTTACAGAAGTGGCTACACAAGAGGACAGCGAGGAGCAGAGTTTTCAATCAGTGCTCAGCTAGGTTGGCTTCAGTAAGTTACTCAGTTAGCCTTGCAAAGTTTGTAAAACATTTTTTGAAAGCATAATTTTTGTAAATAACTGCTTTGTCTGGCTTAAAACTTTGGTTTAAAACTGAGGCACAGTACCTTCCTTTTTGTTGTTGCCAGCTGAGTAGCTTTTAGCTTGATAACTAGCAAGCTAGCAGAGTTGTATTAGCAGGTATGTACAACAGATGGACTAGTTTGCTAAATCCCAGCTTGAGCACAGATAACTGAATATTATATTTTTGAAATATTAAAGAATTCAAAGTGTTTTATTGGTGTTTTTTAGAAACTTTTTGTGCACCATTGTTTGGGGTTTGAAAAGCATCAAATCGCACTGATTTCTGGGCAGATTCTTCTGCTGTTCACTTGTGTTCTCTCGGTTCCCCTCCAAAGGCTCATAGTATGGAACAGCCGTTATGATGGCGTCTGGGGTTTCCCCCCTGAGGGGAAATTGTGAAGCTGACAAGGGCATGTTAAAATGAGTATTGAAATGGGTGGAACGTAACAAACCCCCAAAGAGGGATGATGGGTGGGATCAATGTCAGCCTTTGCCATTGAACCACAACCAAAAACTCCAAAATCAACAGTGCACAACCCTTAAAGAAACAGACGACTGAATGGAGGAACTGCAGAGCAGAAAAGAGCCTTCATTCTTACAGACTGAGGACGATATGCATTAAGGTGCTCACTGTTCCACTGTGAACTGAGCGTCTTGATGTTATTAAACTAGTGAAAAGCCTTTTAAAGCATCTATTTGAACCAAATGTGTTGCATTTTGTGAGAAAAAAAATGCACTGTCCTGTGTCCTGCCCTGCGACGGACTGGCGACCTGTCCAGGGTGTATCCTGCCTTCCGCCCAATGACAGCTGGGATAGGCTCCAGCACCCCACCGTGAACCAGAAGGATAAGTGGTTTAGATGATGGATGTATGTATGTATGTCCTGTGTCCACTGTGAATTATGTCCCAGTACTTTTGGTAGGGTAGTAGAATTTAGTGAAAGCAAACTGCAGCTAAACATTCTTTATTATGTTGTTTATTTCTTTAATAAGAGAATTTAGTCTGTTCATATATTGTTTCTATTTTTGTATCACAGTTTGATGTCCTTATAAGAATTTATTTTATATCATTAAAAACTTTAAAATGAGACTGAATTGCATGTGTAAATGATTGTGCACTAAAACAACCACAAGGGGGCAGTAGAGCTCATGTTAGCGGGGAAATGAACTCTATAGAGAAGAGGTGCCCAATCCTGGTCCTGGAAGTCCACCACCCTGCAGAGTTTAGCTCCAAACCTAATCAGAAACACCTCATCCAGGTAATGAGGGTAATGAAGGCCTTCAGAGGGATCTGAATATTAGAGCCAGGTATGGTGGATCTGATCTTTCTAGAGTGGTAGAGCTCCAGAACCAGGACTGGGCACCCCTGCTATAGAGGCCCTGCAGTACTGGCTGGAGCCCAGAGGTGGGTAGGGGATCCTAAAGCCATACAGTCATGAATGTATTGTTACTGCAATGAAATAAAGACTCAAGTACAAGTAAAGAACCCAGCAAAGAACATATAAAAACCCATATAAAACCGCAGTGGAACTTCTAAAGGCAGCTGCACATAATATGCACTGTGTCGCGTTGCGCCAAAAACAAAAAACATTTTTAATGGAGGTACACACACCAGTGCCATCCAGCACCTCCCCAGCAATCACACAGAAACTGCCTTGAATAACATATGGACCACTTAGCAACACCTGAGGAACCACCTTGGATAACATACCAACAATGAACACCTTAGTAACCACCTGTCCATACCATAGCGATGACCTAGCCCCAACAACCTAACATCTGCCAAGCAATGCCCTAACAACATACTGGAGCAAACCATAGCAACTACCTGGAATACCAGAGCAGCCAACTGGAATTGCTATGTAAACCCAAATAAGTTATTAGTAACTCCTCTATCTTTACACGTGGTATTTGCTGGATTTGTCAAGTCAACTTAAAACTCTTTCTCTTAAAAAAACTTTCTCTATTAGTTTATTTGTTGTGGTTTGACTAATTGTTAGATCCTTCAGTTTGAGCCATAAATGTCAAAACTCTGTCAAAAATAAGGAAAAAAAAACAGAGCTATGATAATGCTATGGGAGACTCCCTATGGGAGTCTAGTAGTGTGTTAGCGGTGAGCTAATGGTGATTCACATGAACATTTATTGGCCATTCTAGATTAATTGAGGACATTCCATGGGCCGTGCTGCCATGTAGCGCTTTGGAGATGTGGCCATGGACATCTTAAAGGCAGATGACAAAGAAGACAGAGCCTGGTGGAAGATGGCTAAGGAAACAGCACAGGAATGAAGCTGAAGCCTGGTGAAAGGACTGGCATGGCAGCGGCTGGCAGCAAAAGAGAAGGTGGCAAAAGAGAGTTGGGTGGCAGCTGGCAGTGGGGCCCAGCTGGAGCCTGGCGAGAGGGACACAGTGTGCATCCGGTTACCAAGTGGTCTCCCGGCATCACGGCTGGATGACGGTCGTCACTGTGATCTATCCGTGCCTGGCCCAGAAGGAGAAAGAGCTACAGGTTCTTGTGGAGCAACACGATGACCTAGCAGCATTGAACACAGCCCTCAAGTGGTGTTTCGGGCAGGTGCTGGTGGTGCTGTCAGTGCGGACAGAAAGGCTGAAACAACTGTTGTTTCCGGCTACTGCTACTTTTACCAATATCACATATAGCAGTAGCTGGAAAACCATAAATAGCAGTAGCCGGAAACAACTGTGGTTAATAAAACCAAAAACTATGGTGTTCAGCTACTTGTGTGTGTGTCTATATATATCTTTGTATAGCTATAGCTGCTGCTGTCGGAAGAAAACCTCGTATCTCAATTTTTGTTGTTTTTCAGTTTTTGACATAATTTGAAAATACATTTTGCTTTTTACATTGTGTGTAAATTTCATGATGAATGAACAAAAAAACAGCCCAAAATTAGTCATCAATTTAACAGTATTGGTTTTTAAATGAATTATACAGAATTCCAAACACCACAGAAGAGCTCGTCCTCATAGTCATGTGTAAAGGGTGGGGCCATATTTTCAGGTAAAAAACATGTTTTTCTGCTGTTTTAACTGCAGTTTTAACTATACATGACTATGAAATATGTGATTTGAATGACATAAAGAAAACAAATGTCAAATAAATATTATAAAATATATAATGAAAGCTGTGGTCCCCAGGAGTCGTGTCACTGGCGTTACTGCTTATTTTGAAATAAAAGTCACACTGATGACATCACTCGACTTCCTTTTACCTGTTTTCTGAGGATCTATGAAGAAAAGCTCATGGCGAGTCCACTGTGTCTTTCAGTTATCAGAGATTTTCTCATTTAGCTCATGATTTCATATGAAGCTTTTAGCTGAAGTCACTGGCGTGACCGACTTTATTCTGAGGTAATTGTGAAAAAATAGAATACAAATGGAGTAAATTACATATTTTGGTGGATATTCCATGATTGACAACATGTGGTTTGATGTTCTGTAGCAGCCGTTTAGTAAAATGCATTTCTCATTAAAAATGTCTCTGGTGTTCCCTTTATTATGTGTAACACCAATTAGTAACACCAGGGACTACTATGAATAGATGGAAAAGTGGACGTTTCTGTAGAATGACCCATATATATATATATATATATATATATATATATATATAAATAGATAGACAGACAGACAGACAGATAGATAGATAGACAGATAGATAGACAGACAGATAGACAGACAGATAGATAGATAGACAGAGATAGATAGATACACAGATAGATAGACAGACAGACAGACAGATAGATAGATAGACAGATAGATAGAGTACTGTGGCAAACTGTTGTATGAGAAAAGTGAGAGTATTATTATTTGTGCAAATGCTGTTTATCTGGTCATTAAGCATTTATTGTTCAAAATACTAACATCAGAATAAGTACAGACAAATAAACAATCCATTGTGATTGTTCTGTGTGTGACTGTGTTATACTGTGTTTACAGTGACCGTCCAATACCTACTTTATCTAATCACAGCAGCTGCTTTGACACGGAAATTCGCTTTCAGATGTCAGATGTGCAGCGCACTCCGTTTACTGGACTCACCCCTGAGCTCTGCATGGCGGTTACCAGAGTTCACAGTGGCAGATACACAGCTCAGAGAAAGTTTTGCGTGACACACTTTGGAAAATGCTTTTAAACTTTTATATAGCCCTGTGAATGACTAAAAGATCTTATCACATGTCTGGGGTTAGAAATGTTTTTGGTTCCTCTCTCTCTCTCTCTCTCTCTCTCTCTCTCTCTCTCTCTCTCTCTCTCTCTCTCTGCTCTCAGTCTTTATCTCTGCGTTGAACCAACCAGACGGACACAACTCGACTGCACACTCGGACAGATTAAACACCCCATGTAAGTTTTTAATTCATTTAAATAATTTAAATGTTATAAATGTTATTTCAGAGCTGTTTAGTCATCACTGTTTTAGTTTATATTTACACTTACATTCACTTTACAACCTCTCACTGTTTTCACTACTTGTACTTTCACTGTTCTACTAATACAGTATATTACTTATTATTGTTCTATTATTAATGCATAATTCATTTTAAGTAATTTTTCAGAAAAATAACATGTTAACCGGGATTGTTTTACTCGTTCATGGTATAAATATTATTTACTATCATAAACGGTCACTAACTCATTTTGGATTATGCAATACTGATTAATGGATTTTTTAAGCAATATTAATATTTCAATCCTGCGACCCAGAAGGATAAGCGGTTCAGAAGATGAATAGATGGATGGATGATATTTCAGTGAAAAATGCAAATATGCCTGTATATATCTGTTTCACTTGCATTTGGAGAAAAAAAAAAGGAACTTAAAACAAAACCTAAACTTAAGTAGTTCCCTTATCTTAATTGGTTTCAGAGTGGTGATGATTTGAAGCATTTGGTTCAACCTGTGGGGAAGATGTGGTTATTAGTCACCCAACTCTACACATAATCTCAGTTTTCATTTCAAATAATTCAGTCCAGTTTTTGTTTTCGCTTTCTAAAATACAGGCAAAGAAAAATGAATAATTGGCACATTATGTTTTGATACTTAAGCTGAAACCTAGACTACTGACCAATACTGATACGAAGGCCAAATGTCATCTCTACAGTCTTCTAAGCTTTAAACATGAGTTGTTTTTACCTGGAGCAGTTCATTTAGGAAGGCAGGCTATCACGCTCAAACAACCCAAAAACTCTACTACTCCTCAAGGAGAGCTACACAGCAAACAATATCACGTCACACAGCGGGCATTTGGGTATTTAAGGATGGACTTCATTGTTTATTTACCTCTTTAATGTCCAGTCCAGCATTTCCTGCTCATTTTGTATCATCTTTGGTTGTAATTACACATTATTTGGTTGTAAATCATTCATCCAGAAGAGCATTTGTGAGGTCAGACACTGACGTTCAACTCAGCAACATTGTAAATGAGGGTCACCCTCAATGTATGTAAAAGGTTAAATGAAGGTTCATTGATTGATTGATTGATTGATCTAGTTAATCCCAAAGGTGTTCAGTAGGGTTGAGGTCAGGGCTCTGTGAGGGCGAGTCAAGTTCTTCCACAGCAAACTCACTCAGCCAGACCTTTATGGAGCTGCTTTGTGCACTGGGGCTCAGTCATGCTGGAACAGAAAAGGTTCTTCACCAAACTGTTCACACAAAGTTGGAAGTGTACAATTGTCCAAAATGTCTTGGTGCTGAAGCATTAAGGTTTCCCTTCACTGGAACTAAGGGTTCTAGACCAACCCCTGAAAAACAACCCCATATCATCATCCCTCCTCCACCAAACTTTACAGTTAGCACAGTGCAGTCAGGCAGGTAATGTTGTCCTGGCATTCGCCAAACCCAGACGCGTCCATCAGACTGACAGATAGAGAAGTGTGATTCGTCACTCCACAGAATACGTTTCCACTGTTCCAGAGTCCAGTGGCGGCGGCTTTACACCACTCTATCCGACAACTGGCATTGTGCTTGGTGATGTAAGGCTTGAAAGCAGCTGCTCAGCCATGGAAACTCATGCCATGAATCTCCCAGCGCACAGTTTTTGTGCTGATATTAAAGCCAGAGGAGGTTTGAACTCTGCAGTTACTGAGTCAGCAGAGCGTTGGTGACTTTTATGCTCTATGCTCTTCAGCACTCGGCGACCCGCTCTGTAACTTTACGTGGTCTAACACTTTGTGGCTGAGTTGCTGTGGTTCCTAAACACTTCCGCCATTTTAATAGTTCTTAATTACCTTTTTTTTGCCCTTCACACTGTGGTGCATGTTTCATGATGAACGGGCCAACATGACTTTAATGTACATTCATTTTTTCCTTCTCTTCTGAAATGAACAGTTTGGAGAGACGAGGTTTCACAGTGATGGTTTTTCTCTTTTTCTCTGTCAGAAAATGGATTCGGATGGAAAGTTTACTTTGTATTCTTCAGATTTTAGCTTTCTTGAAGAAAATTACACCTACAATGAATCATATGAATATGGAGAATCATGCTGTGGGACGGTGTGCGGTCAGGAAGCCAGCATGGCCTTTGAAGCCATCTTTATTCCCTTCGTGTACTCCTTGGCGGTGGTAATTGGGCTTCTGGGTAATGGGCTGGCCCTGGTGGTCCTGTGGCAGAAGAAAAGGACATGGAGCGTGACAGACACCTTTGTCCTTCACTTGAGCGTGGCCAACATCCTGCTGCTGTTGACCATGCCCCTGTGGGCAGTGGAGGCTGCAAATGAGTGGATCTTCGGCAAGGAGCTCTGCAAGCTGACCGGAGCGCTCTTTCAGGTAGGGGAGGGGCTACAGGACAGTGTTCAGAGAGAAAGAAAGTTGGAGGCAGAGGCACCATAAGAGCGGGAAAGCCCTGCATGAGTCAGATAAATGTTATTTTATTAACAAATATTACTTGAGTAGCAGAGTGTAGTTTAGACAGTCTGACAATAACAACAATTTTATCCAGTATGAATCTGCACTGTTTTTAGTTTTACAGTCTAAGGCTACATTTAGGCTACGTTCACATTGCCAGGTTGAAGTGGCACAAATCCGATTTTTTGCCCTAATGTGACTCAGATCTGATGTTTTCAGGGCTGTGTGGACGCACAAATCTGATCTTTTCAAATCTGACCTGAGTCACTTTCATATGCGGTCCTAGATCGGATACGTATCCGATTCATGGTCATGCGACCTTAATGTGACGCTCAGATGCTTTTTTTTCCACCGCGTGCGCCATCATTAAGCGTTACCATGGCAGCAGCGCCGAACAGAAGTTAAAGCCTGTAAACGGTGGAAAAGCAGCTCATCTCACCTTTTTCTCCTTCGTCTCGCTCTAATAATGAAGCTAAGAGCTGATCAGAGTTAATTATCTTCTCAGCGAAGCTCGTTCTGCTCGTTAGTTTGTGCTGATGATGAATGTGATTCATTCACGTGACGTTACTGAGTAGGATGAGCTCATACGGGTCATTTCAGGACGCCGGTTCGTCACATTAATGACGGATTTGAATCACTTACCTAAACGAGTGTGAACCATCGTGTCAGAGAGATCAGATCTGAGCAAAAAATCAGATTTGAGCAATGAGGCTTGTAATGTGAACGTAGCTTTACACAGCAGGTAAAAGTGGCCCAAATCCGATCTTTTTCTCCGTATTCTCCATACACGGCAATGCGACTCAGTCTGAACGGCCAGATCAGAATTCATGTGACTTTTACATCAAGCCAACTCAACATTTATCATCATTTCATTGAGACTCATAAACGTTTAGGCTGATGTTTCTGTACCAAAAAATTAAAAGAGGCTCATCGCAACCGCTCCGTGTTTGAAGAGGTTACCAAGAGAATCCAAGGACACAAAAGTGGCCGTGGCCGAATAACTTGCCCTTTTTACGGTGAACTCAAACACATTCTCGGTGATGAGCTCAGCTGTCAACCATTGGAACTTTATAATCGCTCCTGTGATGCTGGCGAAGACGAAACTGAAAGCTCCAGGAGCCATTGGCGTTGCTGGCCGTCATGATTGTTCACCTCTGGACGAGCCATGTGAAGCGTTGCTCTTTTGCGCATGCGGGTCAGTTTAGGAGCTGATCTGTTCAGACATACAGGTCACATTTAAAAGATTATGTGAACAGCCAAACAAAAACATCGGATTTGGTAAGAAAATCAGATTTGGGCCACTTTTACCTGCTGTGTAAACGTAGCCTAAAAGTAATATCTGTAACTACAGCTCTAATAGTTTATAGGGTCAGTTTTGGCTCATTAAAAACTCTTTTTTTCCCTCACATTTACAGATAAACTTCTACTGTGGCATTTTTCTGCTGGCGTGCATCAGCCTGGACCACTACCTGTCCATCGTCCACGCTGTGCAGATATACTCCCGTAAGAAGCCCTGGCTGATCCAGCTCAGCTGCATGGCTGTCTGGTTCTTCTCCTTGCTCCTCTCCATCCCTGACTGGCTCTACCTGGGTACTACAGAGTACTCCAGATGGGGTAAAACGGAGTGCGTCCATTGGTACCCCTCTGACGGGTTACGTTTAGCCTCCAGATGGCTTTACCACGTGGTGGGCTTCTTGATTCCGGCCTTGGTGCTGCTCTTCTGCTACACCTGCATCCTGCAGAAGCTGCAGAGTGGCTCTCAGGGCCTGCAGAAACAGCAGGCTATGAGGGTCATCCTGGCCTTGGTGGTGGCCTTCTTCATATGCTGGACACCCTACAACATCACTCTTTTGGTGGACACCATCCACACCAACCAACGTAACCAGAGCATCAACGACTGCGACACTAGCACAGCTCTGGATATCGCCTTAACTACCACTTCCACTCTCGGCTACCTGCACTGCTGCATGAACCCAGTGCTCTGTGCCCTGTTTGAAGTGAAGTTTCGGCGCCAACTGCAGGACATGGTCAGGCCTATCAGACGCTCTCGCAGAACCTCAGCGTAGTCCGAGTCTGCGGACACCTCTCATGTCAGCTTTCTGAGAGGATGCATTTTTTTAAATGTGTGGAACTTTAGGTGTGCGGAACTGTTTTAATGAAGAGTTTCATGCTAGATTTAAAAAAAGTCATATTTCTAACCGAAGCTTTCATGCCAAAGGTTTCTTTAATATGTTTTGTAGGTGAAGTTCAGTCGGGGTGTAAGAATAGAAAACAATCTAAAAAATCTATTTGATTTGCCTTTGGATTTCTGATGAGCATTTTGTGGATCTTATGGTTCAACAACCACCTGAAAAAAATCTGGAAAATGTTGGTTGTAGTTTTAAAAATAGTTTTATTACAATTTTATACTAGCCCTTTAATGTCCTCACCAAGAAAAAAGCAATGGAATTTTCTTTTGTATTTGTCATTTGTTTGGGGCAATAATAAAAAACAATTTGTGGTTTGTTTTTTTTTTTGAGTTTTTTTGACCCCACAATTTTTTAAATATTCACGTCTACCAAACAGTCGAGATGGCACTTTGTGGCATATATAGTGACTCAAAATGTGCCCTACCAAATGGTTGAGCAGAACATTAAAGGGCTAGAAGCATAAACATATTGAAAATATGAATACCAAGAAGTTGTTTCCTGCAGACGCACTCAGGTTACAGGTTTCTTGGATACTTTGTCAGGTGAAGATGAAGTTGAAGTTCAGGGTTTCTTTGATTCCTTTCATTCAAATGTTCCATTTCATGCAGCTTTGTAGATAAACCTGCAAGATTCCAAACAACTTACCGTGAATATGACGCATAAACTGCTTTTGATTATGAAAGATTATTCAGGGATGCATGTTCAAGTCAGTAGTAGAAAGTTACACATAACAAGTAAGTCTCAAGTCTTGATACTCAAGTCCCAAATCAGGTCCAAGTCAAGACAGTCGAGCCTCGATTCAAGTACCGAGTCAGTACAGGTGAGTTTCAAGTCGAGTCCCAAGTCCTAATTTTCGAGTCCTAAACAAGTCAGTCTGCATTCTTCAGCTAATTTAAGGCATGGCACGTGGATAATGGTGAACACAAAGAGTAGTGCAACTACACATGAAAAGAATTTTCAAAATACTATTGAATTTAGTTATAAAAAGATATTTAAAGATAAATTCTGATGATTTTGAGAACTCTACACTAAAATTAGCTCAGAAAACTAAAAACAACCTCAAGTTTAAACTGAATTTAGATGGCGACTGAAACCAAATCAATCGAGCTAAACAAATTTTAAAGAAAAGACTAAAGGTAAAATAGTGATAAATGCATGAAACTGAATTCGAACCTTCTGTTCCACCTTAAATGGCACAGCAGTTAGATGCCAGTGTGGCAAAATAATAAAAAAAGACAATTTAGTCTATGTTCATATACATTGTTTCTATTTTTGTATCACAGTTTGATGAACTTATTTTATATCACTAAAAACTGAGACTGAATCATGTGTAAATGGTTGTGCACTTTCTATTACAGCCACAAGGGGGCAGTAGAGCTGATAATATTGGGGAAATTAAATCTATGTAGACATTTTCAAAATTTGTCAAAAACTCAAAAATGGCAAAAATGGAGATAAAAGGTTTTCTTCCGACGGCGTATATATATATATATATGTACGTGTAAGTGAGTAAACAGAACTAGTTAGTATAAACCTGTTTATGACTGTATCATACTGGAGAGATATCACAGCCCCTCACACACACTCACACACTCACACACTCACACACTCTGCACTCTACTACACACTCTCAACCCCAGCTTTACACACCTGCTGCAGCTCATCAGGGTCTGCGTAAATACATGAATAATACCACCAGTGTGGCAAACAAAAAAACCAAAAACTAGTAAAATGAATAATAAATTTAGATCAGAATGAGACAAAATGAGCAGTAATCTTTCTGAAAAATTTGAAAGAAATGAAAATGTTTCATTGAACTCTCACTGTTTGTACATATAGATAGATACATATATTGTGCTTAATATTTTGCTTGTGGATTTTATTATTGTATTTGAAATGTTTGGCACAAAATGAACTCAATAGATTGGGGCCAGGGTTAGGTTTTGGGTAAGGTTGGGTTTCGGGTCCTCTTGTTCAGCCATTTCTGCATTACAGAAGTGGCTCAATAAGAGGACAGCAAGGAGCGGAGTTTTCAATCAGTGCTCGGCTAGGTTGGCCTCAGTGAGCTAATCAGCTAACCTTGCATAGCTTGGAAAACATTTATTCAGAGCATAATTTTTGTGAATAACTGCTTTGTCTGGCTTAAAACTGAGCCGTCGTACCTTTCTTTTTGTTGTCGCTAACTGAGTGGCATTTAGCTTGCTAACTAGCAAGCTAGCAGAGTTGTATTAGCAGTTATGTACAACAGATTGAGTGGTTTGCTAAATCTCTAAAGCTTCAGCACAGATAATTGAATATTATATTATTGATATATTAAAGAATTCAAAGTGTTTTATTGCTGTTTCTTATAAACAGCTTTGTGCACCATTGTTTGGGGTTTGAAAAGCATCAAATCATCATGATTTCTGGGCAGATTCTTCTGCTGTTCACTTGTGTTCTCTCGGTTTTGCATTTTGTGAAAAAAAAAAATATTTGCACTGTCCTGTGACAACACTGTGAATAATGTCCCAGTACTTTTGGTAAAGTAGTGTTTGAATTCTCTAGTACATTGTTTATTTTTTTAAGACAATTTAGTCTATGTTCATATACATTGTTTCTATTTTTGTATCACAGTTTGATGAACTTATTTTATATCACTAAAAACTGAGACTGAATCATGTGTAATTGGTTGTGCACTTTCTATTACAGCCACAAGGGGGCAGTTAGAGCTGACAAAACCTCAAAAATGGCAAAAATGGAGATAAAAGGTTTTCTTCCGACGGCGTATATATATATATATATATATATATATATATATATATATATATATATATATATATATATATATATATATATATATATATATATATATATGTGTGTGTGTATGAATGTACATGTAAGTGAGTAAACAGAACTAGTTAGTATAAACCTGTTTATGACTGTATCATACTGGAGAGATATTATAGCCCCTCACACACACTCACACACTCTACACTCTACTACACACTCTCAACCCCAGCTTTACACACCTGCTGCAGCTCATCAGGGTCTGCGTAAATACATGAATAATACCACCAGCTGTGCTAGATCATTAATATCCAGAACATCTAGAATAACAGATGCAGGTGGAGGCACTGCAGGTCAGCAGTGCTGGAGTCATGCACAGCAGTCACATGACCCAGAACAAACAAGCCAAATACCTGACAAGATAAGACACGACTGATCCTGGATATTTAACACACGCACCCACACATTCACACACACACACACACACACACACACACACACACCCACATATACTCTCTCAGAATGTGGGAATGAGGTTCCCAGGATCCTGTGAAAGTATTTACATCCCCTTTGGTTACAGTCTAAACAGTGTAATAGAAATCCATGGTGCCATTAAACAGTGATTACTGTTGCATTATTGTTGATTTACAGTTATAAGTGCTATACTGCAAGCTAATGTTGTAGTCAACAGTGGGGGCTGTTATAGCTGGACAAGGGGTCCAACTCCATAATAAAGGCCATGGTTTTGGAATAGGACATCCAACAAGCTCATATGGGTGCAATATATAAGTGTTCACATACTTTTGGCCATATAGTGTGTATATACTTAGATGCACAAAGAGCAGCCTAAACCCCAAATGACCAAAACAGCATGAAAACAACTTGAGCAGAAGTACAAAAAAGCAGCTCAAAGTACTGAGCAATATCTAGAACTGCAGCAGGAACTGAAATCTGCTCTCTTTTTTTCAGTTCTCTTTTTTTGGGTGTGAAATAAAATGTTCCAGAGTGAGAGGTGTGACCAGTCATGAAGCAGTCCAGCAACTGTGCCAACACAACACACACTTTCTAAACCGCTTATCCTCCTGGTTGCTGGAGCCTATCCCAGCGCTCACTGAGTGGAAGGCAGGAAACACCCTGGACAGTCCGCAAGTCCATCATAGGGCAGACACACAGACACACACAGTCACACCTAGAGGCAATTTAATGTCTCTAATTGGCCTGACTTCATGTCTTTGGGGTTGAAACCCACCCAGGGAGAACATGCAAACTCCACACGTAAGGGACCCTGTTTGCCCGGCCAGGGAATCGAACCCTGCATCTTCTAGCTGTGAGTTGCCCCTGCCAACACAAGAGTGAAATATATGTGTGTATAATAAAAATGACTCAGTGGTGATGACTAAGCTATTTCTGAACTTAATTCCTCACTAATAGACCTGAGTAGAAGCAAAAACATTGTTTAAAAAATGACAAATCTGTCAAAAGTTTACTTGGGTACATTAAACTGAGTGAATGGACTTACCGACCACCCAATTCTGGATAATATAACACATCCCTCAAACCAGTCTTCACTCGGCCTGCTCCTTTCCCTGCTTAAAACTAGCTACTACAGAAGACTTGGGCCCAACCTCATTTCACCCCTGGCCCCTATCACTTAGCCCTACCCCTCCGTTTTGTGCATTCACGTCTAGGGGTAGGGTGTCCTGATTTTTATTGAGATGAGGAGGGCGAAGTGTTGGGGCTACATGACCCTCCAAACGGAGGTTTTCCAGAGACTCCAAACAGAGTGTTATGAGAAAAAAGGATAAACCAGCAAGATGGCTGAACAAGAGACCAAACAAACCCACAAATGTGAGAATTTTCTCTGTTAAAAATTACAATAACCACTGTAGTATCTTAGTTTGATGTCATTTCAGTGTACTTTGGTCCTTTTCTTCATAACAAGCATAAAAAAATCACTAGTAGTAGTGATGTTTCGGCAGCTTGCTAAATTTCCCGTTCCACCTTAAATGGTGCAGTGGTTACATTCTGGTGCCTCAGGTGTCAGAACCGCTGCACCATTTAAGGTGGAACGGGAAAATTCAAACAAGAAGCTGGTGAATATCTGACTTCAG